ATCTGTCGGCCGGCTCCCCTCCCCAAGGGTTTCTTTTCAGGATTTGTTCAGGTGCAGTGTTCGCGCGGTTTGGGCTTGTCACTAAAAACCACAAACCATTTATGTCAATGCTTTGTAATCGCTTGGGACGGTGGTAAATTTTCCTTGGACGGAGGGAAGACTACAGCTCTCCTTTTGTACTTAACGTAGGTTTATCTGTTCAGGAAGCTTTTGTTGTGTTTTGTTTTTCCTTTAATGTTTCAGTGAGAAAAATTTTGCCCTATGTTGTGAGATAAACCAATGCTGAAACTTTATGATGGTGATTTGTTCCACGTTATGAATTCTGCATTTCAGACTTCTGAAATTTTTCAATACCAGCCTGAAAGTGGCAGCAGCGAGCACACGGCAAAGCACGCCAGGGGTTTTCAGGCTTTACAAAGTTGCCCTAATTATCTTTTCCCCTCTTCACCTATACTCGTTTACATTTTCTGAGCTCAACAAAGTATTAATAATATCATATTAATAAATATTATAGATGCAAATTAGAGCAGTTAGTGTTTCTTGGGTTTTTTTCTTTTTTTTCTTTTTTCTTTTTTAATAGGATATGTATCCATGCAGGAGAGGTTTTTGCTGGTCTTTGTCTTCTGTTTTACTTAATCTAGAATAATTTTAGCTACTTTCAAAATGTTTCACCAGACTTTTTTGAACTGTCTTGTTCAGGTGGCCCAGACAAATAATCTCCTCCACAGGATTGTGTCGATTTGGAAGTAGAATTGACTGCTGCTGGGGCTGGGCCCGATTGTCCTGGGGACAGTGCCAACGTGAGTATCAGTGCTGCTGGGGCTTCTAGTCACTTGTAGAAAAGGCTTGTACACACCTAGTCACGTCTTTCACGTGTTCACACATTCTTACGATGCAGGGCTTAGGCTTTTGCACGTGCAAGTCTGACTTACTTAGAAGGATGTTGTCACGTTAAAATGTGACCTGTTATTAACATTACTAAAAATGATTGCAATCAACTAAAGTAAACTTTAGTTAGGGCAATGAGAATTTGGTAATTTCTGTTTGGCTTCCACTTCATTCATGGTCTGGTCTAATGTAACGCCACAGTGTCATGTTACAAGCACTGGAGGACGAGAGTGTTTGCATCCGAGAAGGAAACCCAAATTATTGATATTTCACTTAGAAAGTCAGTGGAGAATTTCTGGTTAATATTAATGTCAAACATTCTTTCGGTAACCCCAAACTAAGGGAATAAATCTGCCTGACAGCATCCTTTTAGTGAGTCACACGTGAAGAGAAATATTTCTGAGATTCTCACTTCTATCTAGAATCTGTGATATAATTCCAGGATAACCAAGTAGATAAGTTTTCATCATTAACTACATATTCAAAGGGTATTCCATGGTGGCAGCTAGCACTGTGTAGGAGCTGAAATTGTTAGGAGTGTCACAGGGGCCTCAGCTTGTTAAAATGACGGCCTTTGATACTGGGATCACTCGCTCATGTCTTTAACAGTGCACGCATGAGTGATGTCCTTTAAGTTCTTGCAGGAGTGAACCTATAAATACTGATCTTCATTTTTTTTCATTTTGATGCAAATGTCTGCAAACTAGGTAATTTTCTGCCAGTCCATTTTTAAAGTAAAAGGAGTATTATATACTGTAAGTTACTTAGTGTGCAGGGCAGTAACTGCAGGTGGCAAATAGGCAAAAGACAGAAATAGCATTGGCAACGGAACTGTAGACTCTCAGCAAAGGTTTTGTTCAAATTTGTAAACAGTAAAACTGGCTTCTTCCTTCACAAGTGTATTAAAAGCCCAAAAGGTTTAGTAAGTATGTAAGATGACTGGTAAAAGAGATATGTAAAATACTTCTGCAACATAACATCCCTGATACTGTTTTTTGATGCAGAGTTCTTAGGTTGATATCTCTCAAGCAATACCATGAATCATTATGTTTTTTAGAGTTCTAATTGGTAACAAGTAGTCCTTTCCTTGAGGTGATTGTTTATAGAGGAGGAATCATAGAATCATAGAACGGCCTAGGTTGGAAGGGACCTTAGAGATCATCTTGTCCAACCTCCCTGCCATAGGCAGGGACGCCTCTCAACTAGATCATGATACTCAAGGCTCCATCCAAGGAGAATATGAAGTAGGTTGATGGAGGCTACTCCAGAGATGATAGAATCTGTCCTCATCTTTTATAACAGTTTTATTTGAAAAATCATTGAGCATTTAAAAGTTTAAGACCATAAAGTCTTAAGTGGCAAATATCAATTACTTATGTTGTTAAAAAGACCCCACCCCCCCACCACTGAAGAAAACACCCCCAAAAAGCAATCAAGAACAAACCCCAGACCCCCCAAAACATTAAAGGGTCTCACTGCGGCCTTATGTTGTGACCATAAATTGCAGCTCTCACTATTAGAAATTTTGATTTGGGGCTGTATTTTTATGATCTCAGGAGACAGGAATAGCATAAAGCAATACTATCAAAAGATTCATAATTCAAAGCTGAAAACAGACAAAAGTAGTAATACACAGAAAGTATTTTTTTATTTTTATTCTTTGAATTTTGAGAATAAGGTCATTCGTAGTGCCAAAATTCTCGCCTCCTTCCAGTGCATTTTAGTTCATGATTCACAGATTTGTTCTCCATGCAAGTTTCCAGGTAGTGCAGAGCTGGATTTTATGTGGTCACCTCCACTAGTTGGGACCAGACTTTCAAATGAGTGAAGTTATCACTTAGGTGTCTAAACGCATTTTTTCCCCACTTTTTTTCTCTTAGTAGGTGCCGATAATTTTTGAATCTCTGGTTCAGAAGGATCTCAGATACTTGAGTGAAGACCTTATTAGAAACTACACAGCTCCTTCTAGTTTTCAAATGGGGGTCAAACTCTTAGCAAAATAAAACAAGAAAATATGCTCCAGTTGTGGGTGGTGAAAATTCCAGTCATATCACAGAGTGGGAGATTACACTAAATAAAAGTGAATCTTTCTAGTGCTTGCAGCCAAACAGAAAATCTGTAGTCAGCTCTCCACCTTGGGAATGTGGCATTTGGTATTAGGGATTAACCTGACACAGAAGGCAGCATTCCTGGCATCAAAGGAAAACTTGAATGTTTTACTGTACAAAGGAATATCACTGAAAATTTTGCAGAAAGCCAAGTACACAATTATTTTTCCTGCTTTCTCTGTTGAGAAAGGCGAGCCTCTTTAATCCTGTCCCCTACATGAGCACCATAAATACATGTCAGACTGTCATAAAATCATTGAGCCCTGGTATCTTAGTGCTCTGTCCTCCATCCATAATCCATGCATACGGTTGTGCATGGGAACTGAACCATGTTAGCTAAACCGGCTTTTGTGAAGCGTGGCGTGGTAATTCCTTTTATGTCCCTTTGACTGACGAAGGAGCACACACAGAGCGTAATCGTGCTTACTGCTGCTTAGTAACACAAGTCAGCATAACTCAGCTGTCTTTATTGCTCTTATAAACATGTAGGATGAAGTTGAAATCAGGCTCCTCCTTTAATTTACACTCTTCCTTCAAAATGTCTTCTGTCTCCTGTTAATAAATTGCACCAATCAAGGCTTGCACGTGTAAGGAAGTGCCTGTAGGTCTGATCTGTCTGTAAACTTCCTTCCAAAGCCTGTCAGTGTCAGCTGTAACATCTCACCCAGTAGAAATTTTCTCTCTTCAGTGACATGAAATTGCCTTCCCAAATGCCCTTTCCAATTCCAGTGAATGAACTTAGGAGGTTTCTCTCCAACTGAAATAACCAGAAAATTTGAAACCTCTAAAACAGGTTGGATTGGGTTTTTTCTTTTTTTTTAATCTTTCTTGCAGGTTGTGAACACCGAAGTGAGACCCATGTTTAGGGAACTAGATCTATTTTGAGACTGATGCAAATGTAGCCACATTTTCAAAGAGTCTGAGCAAACATAATTAAATTCATTGCCAATTCTAAGTCCTTCTAAACTGAAAATCCATCCACACTTATTTAGTGGCCTAACCTAGATTTAGAAAGATGATTATATTCCATCATTAATGTAACAAAGTAGGCTGTCTGAGATTTTGATCTAGTATATGAACCAGGTTTATTAGTTAAACCTGGTGCGTAGAATGGCTAATTTGCAAGCAGCAGCAATGTTATTTAAGTACAACTCTTGGTTCATATGAAGTAATCTCATCATCAGTAGAACTGACTCTTTATAGTGATGAAGTCACAGCATTAGTACTTTTAAGTTAGATGTTAAATAACACAATTGAAATTAGTCCAAAAATCCCACGTTGTTGCCCAGCCTGCAGGATTTACTTGTCCTTCAGGAAGTACTAGTGGGAATAGTAGCTGTGAATGGCAGTAATCACACAATGAATATCTGATGTGTGTAAAAACAGGGCTGTTGTCTGGAATTTTTCTATGTTATTGTTGTGTACACAACAAAACTATAACCCAGAGCAGAAGTGAGGGTAGAGTTTCTTCTGGATTTCTTGTCTCAGAGTAGGGAGTGTTGACTTCTATGAGAGAGTATTTTTGACAGATACCAGCAATGCATTTTTAATTCATAAGTCTTTTTGCATTGTAAGTCAACTGCATCTGTGGTACTGAGTGTTTTGTCCTACCCGAGAACCTGTTCACTAGGTTTTAAAGTATACAGGGAAGACGAAGTCAGGGCATGCATCATTGCACGCGTCTTGCACAAGCACACTTTTCTGTGTGTCAGCAGAAAAAAAATGCCTTGGGAAGTTAATTCAACTTTTTTATTTTTTTTGTTTGTAATGTGTTATTCAGCATTAATGGTCATTGTTTGAAATACATGGGGGAAGAGGAGTGTTCCTGGATTCTAGCTGCTGTAGTCAGGGAGATCTGCTGAAGCCTGTCATCTTATCCTCCTAATGTGATACATCTGTGATAGCATTCCTGGGTGTTTCTCAAGGAAAGGGTACTCTGGGCCTTGTTGTCCAAGTGCTTCTGCTAAGTCAGAGGTAGCCCAAGCAGCAGGAAAGTCCTCGGAAGCGCTGTGGGTTGACCCTCACTGATAATCTCGTGTAGAGAAATCAGCTGTGAATGTACACTCACATACTGAGCTCTGGAACCTGGTTAGCCTAACAGAAAACTAAAATATGGGTTAAGAGATGCACTCATTTCATGCAGAGACTTGTGTGAAGCAGCAATGTGATGCTTTTTATTCTTTGTATGAAAGTGAAAGTTCTTCCCTCCAGTTTTCAACAGGCCATGCTAGGGGTTATCTGAAAAATAGTTCTTTGTAGATGGTTTTGCCACTAATCCATCCTAGTTCCCTGAAAGTTATTCCTAGAACTAATGGCCTGCTTGCCTTGCTTTTAGCTGGCTGACAAATATCTCTGTAGTTCTTTCAAAAGCTGTAAAAATGGTTTCCACATGCACGTGTCTTTCATGGACAAAATACACCTGCTTTGTACTTGGCTGCATGTCTATTTGTAATTGATTTGTATGCTAGTTATGTGTAGTCAAGGTACCCTATAGATGTAGACTGCCTTTTGTTTCCAAATCTCAGCTGCAGTTTAACAGCCAAAAACTGTAGAAAGAGATAGTAATTTAACATAGATTTGAAAGATTAGGCAAGATTTTTTTAAAGAAAAGTGATATAGAACAGTGTGAATTCCCATTCTGGATTACAGTTTGGACAACTCCTTTGCTAGAGGTGATGGCAAAAATTGTTCCTTCTGCTCTATTCACGTACATAAAAAATAGGAGGTTGGGTCTGCAGCTTCTATGAAAGGATGCAGAACTACTGTAAGATCCTCTCTTGGCATGAGTCTGTGTGACTGTTGGAGTCAGCAGAGCGTACTCTCGTGGTGGACAGAAAGTTTGACCTACAGAAGATGATTGACGGGAATAAAATCCCACTGAACCTGTATTTTAGAGGTAGTGATGTTCTTTAATTACTCCATTCATTTCAGTGTTGAATTCTCCTTAACGGATAATGAAGTCTGTAGCCTGTCATGGGAAGCAATTGTGAAGATGAATGTGCTCTTTCAGAGCATCCGTCTGTTGTAACTCCATTTGGTTACCTCCTGTGCTGAGGTTTGAGTGTTCTACCTAGGGAGCAAAACCAGAATAGATCAGCAAAGTTGTTTCCCACCACCTTACACTAAAACCACAGCAACTGGCTTAAAAGCCTAGGGACAGAGCAAGCAAGAAAGTAGAAGAGCCTATTAGTAAAAGCATAGGTCAAGCCATCAGTTTACGCCTCCCCTTAGCGCTGCATCATTAAAAAATGACAATTGAGGGCTGTCAGGTTAGTGTTTAGATTTAGCCAAACCCAGCAGAAAGCATCTTGTTTCAGGAGGTTCTTCGGAGGACCTGCAAGAGAGAGGGAGGAGTTTGTAGAAGCTGCTCTAGCGGATGCAGGCATATCCACGTGCTTTGCTGGGAACGGTGCATGCTGCTGCCTTCTTACAACGAAACTTCAGAGTGCCTTTGCTGCTGCTGCTCCTCTCCTAATGAGCTTTACTGCTGTGTAACAGCACTGCGCAACCTATTCACAGAGGTGCAAGGTGGTGGGAGGGGGAGGAAGAGGTGGCCGTGCTCTCATTGATGTTTAGAAGGAGCTTTTGTATAACCAATGGCGATGTTGATAAGTGTTTACCCACACGAGTCATCTCATCCATCAATGGGAGAAGAGGCCGTGAGCTGCATAGGACTTCTGTTGCTGGCACGTACCAATGCTTTCAGTGGAAATGGCAATTCTGTATAGTCTAAGATGTACAAATATAAACCCAAGATTTGGTCAATAGTGAGCTGTGAAAATACCGGCTTCCAGGAGGCTGACCCACTTGTAGAAACCTCCTTAAAATCATTAAGGGTTTTGTTACTTAATTTGTGGTTTCAAGAATGCAGACTATATTAATGTTTCTTGTTGACAAAGTTCATCTAATATTGATAGGCAACATGTCTGCTTCTTACAAAATTACCAGTGGTTTTGTGTATCCCTGGTGCTTTTAAAAAAAACAACAACGCACCATTTTATACAGAATTGCAATACCGCTTTAATACTGCTATGCAAGAAAAAATGAGGTTTTGCTATTTTTATTCAGTTGTTTTCTTATTAGTTTTAGATTTTTTTTTTCATTTTAGCTTTATGCTTTTAAAACAGTTACGACTTTACTATGTTAAAGATACAGTATCCTTTTCCATTCCCCCACTACAGCCCTCCTGCACTCTATGTGTGGAATCACAGTTTTGCAGTCCATTTTTTTCCTGAGGAAAACTCAACCATAACATGATTTGACCATTTAAGACAGTAGTATGTTCATATTTGGACCTTCTCTGAAAGCCCAACAACAACTTAGGGAGCCACTGTCGACTGTGACAACTGACAAAGGACTTTCTGGTTAAATCTAATTTAATCAATACAAGTTGCAATTATAGCGAACTCGTAAATGTTAGTCACATACTACATAAAATACAAAGAGCTGCTGTTGCTTGAGTCTCAGTCTTTTATAATAAGGCTATGTAGCCTAACAAGCTGTGCTGCTAGCATTAATGTTACTGGCAAATAAATGGATTTAAAATAAGCCTGAAACATAAATCTATGTTTCTGTCTCATTTAACTGTTGTAGCGTATCTAGTTTCATATGGTAGTAAGACCTAAAAAGGTCTCTAAGCATTAGTTTTAATTTAAATGACATTCAAAATTTAAACATTATAAAAATGACAAGTAAATTTATATGCCAGCATGTTTATTAGTTGCAGATGTTCAGGTACTTATAAATGGGTGTAATTTTAGTTACACTCAAATTAGCATCCACGTGCTGAACCCTTTATGTTTGCTTTATGGCAACGCAGCATTGAAATACGTACAAGGATACTGTCTCTTTAAGAAAAGCATTTTTGTTCTGTTAATGGAAACATTGAACCTGAACCGTGAAACAAGAGAATTTTTACAACTAGGTACCATAAAAACCATGACAAAGTGTAGCTCCTTAGTTGCTTGAATAAGAATAGCATTACGTCATTATATATAATTACTCTTATGTATCAGAATGTGTTTGTTAAATCTCATAATGAAATACTGATGTAAAGTATTTCCATTTTTAAATGTGTACCAGAATTTTTTTTTTATTTCAGAAAAACTCTGAATGTTGAATGTGTGTAAGACTCCAGGGATGTAACAAGTTGATAAAAACCCCAGCCAAGTCCATCCTCCTTACAGGAAAAAAAAAAAAGCAAAAAAAAGCTGGAATTTCTTTTTTTTGGATATTTGTTTTGCAGCTTTCTACGTCTTAAGGCAGAGAATAGCCAGCCTAAGGTGCCAGCCCAAAGGTTAGCTGAACATATTTCTTGAAATAATTTTGGCAAGGTTATGACTTAGAGTTATGGCCTCTAAGTGCTAAGTTCACATGAAAGCTATAATATGTAACAAGAAGATGTAGATGTTATTTTATTATTTTTTTTTAAACATTTGATTTGGAAAAGATGAAGGGGGAAGGAAATTAACAGGGCCATTTTATTTCAGTCACTTATTCGATGAGATGCTTGTTTTCAAAACTATTGCACTTTTTTCTTTTCACTCTTTTTCTTTATTTTACCCGGAAGCCCCAGGCAATGTTTTTTTCCTTCCTGCGAATTGCTTATACTCCCAGCATCATATTTACAAGCTGTCGGACTTTGGAGGCCTAATTTGCTTTTCAACTGTATTGAAATCTGGAAGGTTATTTGGGGGTTATTTTGGTTGATTTTGGGGTACCTGAAGCACTCGCTGCTCCCCATTGCCTGCTTCACACCTCCACCACAGGTCAGCCTTCCCACAACGGGGAAAATTTACAGCCCCTGTTCTCCAGGCACGCACAACCTGGTGAGTTAGACCAAAGTGAAATCAACGCTCGTTTGCATTTTTACCCAGGGCTGTAGTCTGCGGCTGCTTAGGAACTGGGAGGTCTTTACTTACCCCTGTGGTGGGAGGACCGGTCTGTGGAAGGAGGAGCGAAGCAATCAGCTCTTCACCCGTCCCTGAGAGTCAGCTTTGTTACGGCGATAGAGAAGTTACTCTGCTGAAGCCAGTGCGTCTTATGTTCTAATCAGTGGGTTGAGCGGGGTGCTGACAACAAGGACCAACACCGAGGTCGCGGGTTCGATTCCTGCTCGGTCCCCATGTGTTGCCTGGTCTAGTCGAGAGGTGGTGTCCCTGCCCATGACAGGGAGGTTGGACTAGATGATCTCTAAGGTCCCGTCCAGCCATTCTATGATTCTATGAAAATAGCAGTAGGGCCCAGTTTGTCTTCTGCCACCACACTGAGACACTCCTGCTAGCCAGCTCCTGCCTGCTGGAATTTGGTGGGCACACACAAAGGTTCAGGTGGCCAACTGTCACGAGCCACTTGAAATGCAAAGATGAGAATCACAGAATGGCCTAGGCTGGAAGGGACCTTAGAGATCATTTAATCCAACCTCCCTGTCATGGGCAGGGACGCCACCTCTTGACTAGACCAGGCAACACATGGGGACCGAGCGGGAATCGAACCTGCGACCTCGCTGTTGTCATTGTTGTCAGCACCGTGTTCAATGATATGCTTTTTTGCTTTTTCTAATTTTGTGTTTTGTTAGATCAAATTTTCACTCATTTTGAAAAAGAGTATTTAGGTGCATAAGCATTGGAGTAACTTTCACTGAGCTCATTAAATCCTACCAATTCCTGTTGGCCATGCTTAAGTTATGCACGCTTTTAAGTGCTGTTTTGAATAGCAAGGTGTTTGTGAACCAGGGTCTGGATCTGTCTCTGCCATTTAAGAAACACATTTGGCAGCAGTCAGAGCCAAGCAAAGAATTTCCTGCAATGAATTGCCCACGCTGGTTGCAGTTTATCATTTTAATGTGCTGTTACCAGAATCATGTGTGCGAACTGAGCAACTGATTTACCCGGGCAAGTGTAGTAGTTGTGCATGAAAAATTAGGTTCTGCTTACTTAATGGAACTGTATGTTTTAGACGGAAGCTTAAGCATGCATTTTGGTAACATTTGTTACCACAAATGTTAGAAGTAAGTGCAAGTAATTTGTGAATGAAATATTCAGGCATTGGATATTACCATTTTATCTAATGACATAATCAATCTCTAGTTAGAGGAGTTGGCCAAAGACATATATCATCTTTAAAAAAACAGAGTAAGGAATGTTTTGCAAATGAAATTATCTGAAAATTAAAACGCAGTTGCCCTAGTCAGACTTATTAAGCTCTGTAGAGATTTATGTTATGACTGCTAGTATGCTTATTTAGGAAGCAAAGTTATTTTTTCAGAAGTAATTTTGTAATGTGAGTTATGGGTATGACATGTTTTTACCACCTACTGGTAACTGTGTGGTAGCTTAAGCTTTATGCATTCGCCTGAATTTGTATGTAGTTGAACAGAACAAAAATGAAATATGTAACTCTAAAAGACCTACAGAGATTCATGTTACAAATTAGCTCATGCCTTGGGGATCCTTAATTCAAATTACTGTGAATAAGGCAGATTTATTTTTCCCGAGCGCCTCTTTATGCAATTGCATAATTTGCAAAGAATTGCAAAAAGCAAATAGAAAGAGAGAGACATGAGCTGCAGCTGGCTCTGAGGAAGAGAAGTGTGGAGCTTGAGATTGTGGTCTGTTAGCACCACAGGAAAACAGGAGCCAGTTTTAGGAGAAGGCGGCACTAGGGGAACTGTAAGTAGCAGTCTTAAGACTGGAAGTCAGTTCTGCACTGAGCAGTGTAAAAGAATCCAGTAAAGGTTTGTGAATAGACTCCAGTAAAGGTTTGTGAATAGACTCCAGTAAAGGTTCATGAAGCTGAAGAGTACGTAATCATCTCTGGGCTGATGCACAGATTATTAGTGTTTGGGGATTTTAAGGAGCCAGGGTTTAGCGTCAGAATAAATAAGGGGCTACGTGTTATTTGGGGAGAGAGGGCAGAAGCAAGGCCTTTCAGACAGATGGCCGGCATAGTTTGTTTCAGATGCAGGTGTTCTTAGGCATATTTTTACACTTCAGAAGGGTGAAAATAGAAGTTCAAGTGCAGGTTGGACATCTGCAGTCTGATATTTTGAGGCAGATTTGGGTGGAGGGGTACAGAAAGAGCAATTAAAGACTTTGAGGGCAATTTATGTCAATGAAACCCTCTTTTGGGAATTCATGCAAGAAAGAAAATGTAAGGAATAAGAAATAACTATTAAGGAATAGAAATTAAGAGGCAAAACAAACAAACAAAAAAGACTGTAAGAATTATACACAGAGTTATACTCAAGGCTGTTTTGCTGAAAAAGTGCAGCTAGGAATGTTGGAAAACCAAAGAAGAGTTAAATCAATAAAGATACTCCACTAAGAAAGCTCAGGGATATCCATTGTTGGCCACAAATGAAAAGGAGGAGTTAAGCAAGTAGGAACCACGTAGTGCAACCATCTGGCTGGGACTCCATCAGACAGTGTTTGGTGATCAAGAAATAAATTATTAATTTTAAAATTATAGATGAGAAGGAATAGAGAGGACAGTATGTGGTAGTCACTCATGCCCTCAAAAGGTGGGCAGTTAGTGCAGAGGAACTGACAAAACCTCAGTGGCACTTCCAAAGCAGTTCTGCAGGGAGAACATACAGATGGAATTTAGAGCCCCATACATTATCGACCCATAATGAATTGATTGAATACAGTTTTCATTTATGGTATTTATGCCACAATTAAAAAGTAATAATTAAGAATCTTTGAGTCGTACTCAGACACCGCCAGCAGCTAGTAGTGACTGGAAAGATTGGTGGCTTCTGGCTTTTACACAAGCATAACGTGTGCTTAATAGCACATACATTTCCCATTCGGTCCCCATGTGTTGCCTGATCTAGTTGAGAGGCGTCCCTGCCCATGGCAGGGAGGTTGGACTAGATGATCTCTAAGGTCCCTTCCAGCCTAGGCCATTCTATGATTCTATGATTCACCAGAAATTCTTTCTTCCCTCACCCAACCCTAAACCCAAACCACTCATTCATGTTTCCATTCTTTATGTTATTTTTACAGGAAGTTTAATTTGTCTCCAAGTTTAAGTGAGACATAAAATGTGGTGTTTATAATCTTATTTTGGAGGAAAAGGTAGTTCTTACCAACCTTTAAAATAGATGCTCTTTTAGATTTATGGCCAAATAAAAGGCTTTAGGATACTTCCTTGACTCCTTGAAGTTGGTGGGAATCAAAACAGAGCAAGTCTTCACATCTGCCTCCCCAAAAGAATTTAAAATTATCAGACTGAAATAAATAATCATGAGACCAGTGTTTATTTGATAATACATCTTGAATTAATTGGGCAACAAGATGAAATGGAAGATTTAGTTGCAGTTTATTCTATGGCCTAGGTAAATAAGCAGCAGCTGACTAAAGATGAAAATAGCTGTGGTTAGGATGTCTTTCTATCTCAGGCTCGCAATACTACCCAATGGGAGTGCCGGTTTAAATGCTTACAGAGGTGAATCCGTGGAGAAATGGCAGGTCTTTGTTCTTGATTCAACAATAAATTGTCAATCTTGTTTTTAGTGGCACCTGCCTATACAAGTGCACTGTCAAATTTGTTTAAAACAGTTACTATTATAAAGAACAAAGATTTTCTTTCTGTTTTGGCAACCTTTTCAGACTCTTTTTTTCTGGACTTCATTGCCCAAAGTGTGTAAGAGAAAAATTTTCTCAGTCTAGTGTAACTCTCCGCTCTCTACGTTTCCTTCTTGCCTAGTAGGGAAGTAAGTGTTATGTAGTAGACGGAAGTCCATGGATGTGGCTTATTGTCAATGTGAGTTAGTCAGAGGGAAATGATGTTCTATTGGTTGTTGTGGTCAGTTGTGGGGGAATTTTTTAATTGCCAAGGTGCAAAGAGTATTAGTTGGGAGTCTTTTCTTCCCACTACCCATGAGTCTAACTGCGTTAAAAGAATGGATAAACTCCACGTGTTTGTGTGTGAACAGAGCAACTGAAATACTGTTCTGTTGGAATTTGCAAGGAAGGGAGTGGAAAATTCAAAGAGAATAAAACAGTGACATCAGCGTACATAGTGTGTGCCTAGACTCATACCAAACAGCTGAAAGAATTGCCTGCTATTAAAAGAAATGCTGAAAGTCAGTCTCAAGCTTATTTTTATACCTGGATCTCGTTGTTGTCCATGTTCAAACAGCACCCTTCTAGAGTCAGCGAGCGTATCTGCTCTAGAGAAAGGAGTATTTGCAGATGGCTTAGCTGGAGGCAGCCCACCTCTCTGGGCCTGGTGATGCTGGTAGAGGTCAGTGGGAAGGGCACGTAGGTGTCCCTGTTGGAATCCCTGCCAGGTGTGCACACTTGCCCGAACAAGCTTCTTAAGTCGTGAGCACTGTGCAAAGCGCCAGTCAAGCTAATGGGAGGATACACAGGTTGCTTGGTGAGGGCGGCTTGATTCCTGATGGGAAGCAGTGTAGGATTTATGTGTGGTGTTGGCTGAGCTACAGATGTTGGTAAGCTTACTGCAGAGCGCTTTCCTCTATAGAAATGTTTCAGTTGTAACGTTGTGTGGCATTTCAGCAGCTATGTGTAAGTTGCATAACGTAGGTAGTCAAAGTACACAGAATGTACTCTAATAAGTAGGATTTCTTAAAGTACAGTGTTTGGTAGCACATGTAGATTTCCAAATACCTGTTTCATGTACAAAGAAAGCATTTTATGATGGCTTTGATTTTATGGATAGTGGCTTGATAATCATTAGAGAACTTTGTCTGTGGTAGTAGAGATATTTGAGCTGTAGATTGCTGATGGGCTGAGATCTCCTTTAAGCGAGATTTTTAAAAGCACAAGGGAGAACTATCTGTCATGTGGTTTAAGTGCATTTCTTAAGTAGATTTTGAGACTAGAAGGTACACTAGATCAGGAGTTACCCCCCTATATGTCATACAAGACATTAAATTCTGCGTAGTTTGAAGCTCAGTTTGTTGAGATGTACTGGACTAGATGATCTCTTGAAGATACCACAGATCCAACTGCTTGATTTAATAACAAGGCCTATGCTAAGTATTTAATATCTGTATCTTACATGTTTAATATCTGTAGACACTTGTATATAATTTATTTTAAACAAAAGCTAATACATATTTTTTTCTGTAGTAACCTAGTCAGTTAACAGGGAATTAAGCAAAATTCTGATTCCTAACAAAAACATATTTGACCTTCTAAATTAGAGGAACACTTCTAGATGAAACAAAAATATTTATTTCATTACTGAATTTTATAAAGCTTTTTGTTTCTCAAGTGTGAGATCTTTTTTTCCTGTATCTGAGCTGCTGCTAATTTACAGTCTATGCAATTGAAGGTGCAACCAAGACTTTAAAAAAGTCAGCTAAACTAAAGTTGCCACAGGTTCAGCTACTGAACTGTAACACTTCACACCAAGCTGATCTCAGGGTGCTTTGTGTTTTTTAGAGTAACTATTACCTAGCCTGTATCTCCACTCCACAATATGGACTGTCTCTGAAGTGCAGTTGAAATTTCATGGAAGCTTTCAAAAACATACTTAGAGTAATTTCTGTTTCTCTGCTGTAGTTTAGATCAAATCTTTTTCCCCAGTGACTTCAAAGTCATGAAGTTGATCTTCAGAGAGTTGGTTTTGCTGCCATCACCTCTAATTAGACTTAGGTTTGTGATGTCAGGAAGATAAGCTGGATGTCTAAATGGGCTTTTACACCAAAAAGATCTATTTTTGTGGTTATGACTGCTGCTAAAAAAGCAGTAATTGTTCCCATGTGCGATGTTCTATGAGATTTTCATGATGTACCAGTTGCTCTTCAGTCAGATCTGTCCATTACCTAAGAGCATACTTTTTGAGAAGTACCTGTTAGTAGTCTAAACAGCCCCTCTCCCTAATGCTTTAATTGACAGGTGTTTCTGAATCTGAATCCCATTTCGGTGTTTCTGGACAGTGTTTAATGGGGAAAAAAATCTTGTGTTAACTAGAAACATCCTTCTCTGTTGACATTAAAGATATTCCTTAAGACAGTTTTCAGAAAGAGGCTGTACCATTATGTTAGGAAGATCTGTCAAGAGCAGTCCTGTAGATTTAAACGAAGATTTTATGTTCTCGGGGAATATTATGGTTCATATATATATATATATGTATTTAAACCAAAAAAAATGCCCTAATAATAAGGAGCAAATGCAGTCCTAAAACTGGAGCAAACTCGTTCTACACTAGCATTGCCTCTATGGATGCATTTGTGGGAATTGCTGATTTTGGATTCTTTAAGTCTTATAGAAAAGATTGTGTCTGTTTGTGTCTGTTTTAATTTCATTTAATTCAACCCTGTTGAACAGCTTGGCTAGGATGCAAGCTACATTTTTGAATGCCTTCTGACAGATTTCTTTTAAATTACATCCTTAATACATCCAGTTTTATGATACAACCTGTTGTCAGATTAATTAATATTACAGCTGGACCTAGTTAGTTACTTTGCAAATGCCAAACGATACTGTTTAGAAAACAGACTTAAAGCCAGGATAAGTTTGTAAATCCTGATTTACAGGGTATTCAAGTTATGCCACCCTCTGATTTCTGTCTAATTTGTCTCCATCTTGCTTAAGCAGTAAGTTCACCAGAATTTTGCATCTGCATTTTGTCATATAATGACAAACGACATTTTCAAGCATATAAATACTTTCCTTTTCCAGTAGGTCAAAACAGCATGTTTAGTAATGGAAATAAATTTCTAGTAAGAATGACTTGGACATGTTGTTTAAAATTTTCAGTTGTAAAAATGTTTCCAGAGTTATGCAGCATTCGTTGTGCTCTGAAAATACTCCTGCTTAGCTAATCCTACATCAGTAGAAATGCATTTGTGCATTGTTATATTTATTCAAAAGAAATGCTTGCGTTATTATTGAAATTTTAAAGTTTGTTTCATGAATTTGATTGGTGTTATATTGAGAGAAGTACCAAAAAAATGGCTTCCTAAGTATTATTTCTTGGAGTTCTGTATTTATTCTCCATTTGGGGAAATTGTCCAGTCAATTTGACTCTGGAAGCAGAATAGACCATAATTTAACATTCTGAGACCACACCTCTACAGCAGGTTGGGGAATAAACGCTTGAGAAGTTCTGAGTGGAAGTGACTTGGGTGTAAAGTGGTAAAGCAGCATATTGCAGTCAGTGTTGCTTTTGCTTTTACCCAGTCCTCCAAAATAATAAAAAAACCCAAACCAAACATAAAAAAGTAATTCACATGTCACAATCTGAACACCCAAAAGGAAGAGGCAAAACGTTTCTTAGTAAGGGGGTAAAGAGTGTTGCCCAGTAATCGTAGCTGAAAACAGTGAAAGCTGGATCTGTGCTACCACTGAAAAGTGACTGAGCTGTGGCTTTGTTTTTATTTCGCCTGTGACACTGATGTGCACATTTTCTATGTATATTGGACTGTATTCCAGGTTTACCAAACTTAATGTCGTGAATCATCGTGCATACACACGTAGAGCAAGTGAAGGCGCAGCGCCTGCTTGCTGATGAGGTGTTAAAGGGGCTTAATATCTCAGAAACAGCGCAAGGTAGTGTTGCACAAAACCAGCCTGCTCACTCTTCCCGCATGTATTGGGGTAGTGGTTATTTTTTGCAAGTGCACCTGGTGTTTGAACAGTTGAAGCCTGTAACGAAGGGTACTATTTGTTGCCATTTGTTTCAAAATAAAGCGCTGTCGGCTGTGACTGGAGTGGAAAAATAAGGAGTATTCCTCTATTTGCAGCCATATGCCAGCCGGGATGCAAACACGGTGAATGCGTTGGGCCAAACAAGTGTAAGTGCCACCCGGGATACACTGGAAAAACCTGCAACCAAGGTAAGAAAGTGAAGTCCAAGAAAGAATTTCTTCTTAAAATCACAGAGGTGGTGTTGACCCCTCTCCCCTCAAATGCCATGTGTGTTGCCTGGATTTGTAGGGTAATGAACTCATATACTGGTTCTGTTTCTGCTGTAGCCATTCTGATATTGGGGATGACGTTCGAAGAGAGAATGACATCTGCAGTGAGATGATGCTGCAATCAGAAAAACTGCTTTCATTAAGATGAAATCAGTGAGGTGAATGTAGATTATGTATTGACATGCTCTCCTGAATCTGAATCAGATTATTTAAATCTTGCGGTCAGGATTGTTTTTTCATAAAGTCACAATTTTCAGGTTTGGATAGCGAGATAATACTTGTTTAATAAAAAAATAAAATAAAATTAATGCATTCTCATTTTTTGTGTTTGTAATCCCGAACTAGCTACGTAACAATAAACTATTGTGCATTCTTAAGGGTTGGAAACATGAAGTGTTGTCTTGCTGAATTTTCAATATAGTTTCACTGTGTATTTTTTTGCAAAAACCATCTCCAAAACATGTATAAAAATCATAGAGTCTAAAACAAAATTGTAATACATGATTTATTAGATTTCAATGCCTAAGACATACAAAGATACCTCAGTAAGACCGTTCTCTTTTCAAGTTGTTTCAGCCTACAGAAAAAATGCATACACATTCTGAAAGTGCTAGGAGGTCTGGTTGAAAAGTGTGACATTTAGAGCTATGTTCTTCAAAAATGTACTGTGATGTTTGCTAAACTTTTTTTGGCATGTTGATTTTAGGGTGAATTATTTTCTTAAAAATAGATACATCTTTATTTTCAGATTTACTAATCATTCCCAGAGTGATGTGGAAATGAATGTTGTGGTTTTGAGTTTTAAGTTTCATTTATTCTATCATCTCTCAGATTATCCCATCTCCTTTTCCCTTTACTCTGGAATGGCATTTTAAAGAATGGATGGTTATGATTTTATTATTCTACCCCTGTTTTGGTCAGTCTGGAACTTTTTTAGAAAACAGTTCAGTGAACTAAATGGTTGTTACAGGTGTGTGTAACAGTTTTTATATGTGCTAATTAACTATATCGAAAGTGTAGTGTGCAAATTACTGGAGGCTGCAGTCTTGAACTATTCACTTTCCACTAAATGCTTAAGAAGAAAAAGAATGTGGTGACAAGTGATTGAAGGAAGCCTTTTAAGCAGTATTAGTGAAATAATCTTGCATGGTGTTGGTGGCCGAGTCGCCGCAGCAGATGTGTGTGAGGTTTCTGAGATGCCTGCTCACCATGATACAGGTGACCACAGCCTGTATCTCTTCTGTCGCATGGTGAGACCCCTGGGCTGTTCCTGGCATCAAGGTTATGAGTTCTTGCCATGTGCTGATTACATGTTAGGATAAGACCTGAAAGGGCATGAGGGACGCGGAATCTGCTTTTGCTGGGAGGAAATGCAAACCGCGTAGGATAAGTGTGACCTGTGTTGTTATACTTTATTAGAGCTCCTGTCCAGTCCGTGGGCCATTTTTCTGTTCTAGAATAATAATTACTAATAACAGAAAGTATGGTCTTGGGAGAAGGAACGATGGGAGTTCCCCTGCAGAGATGGAAGTCTTCCTGGGATGTGTGAATGGTGCTGGGCTGTAAAGTATGCTCAGGTTCTTGGTGAACGGTATTCTTTGAGCATAAGCACTGCTGAGCAGGATGTACCTCCCAGCTGTGTATGGGCCACATGGATCAAGCCGTATTCCAAGCACCAATCCAAGAGATGAACCCAGCCTCACAGCAGAACTGTGCAGCCCTGACTGCATGATGATGCCTGGATGGTTGTCCTTTCCAGTGGTGCCGCAGCTGTTGTAGTGATCTAGATCTCGCTTTCGGTCACCCAGAACTCAGTACTAGTTGGTACTTCCTTTTTTATGTTTCTATCATCAGCAATTAAAGTGCAGTGACTTTGGACAAGAGCTAACCATGTGCTCTACCCAAAGAGTTCAAAACTCTTGAGCGGCTTTAGTGTTTCCCTTACAGCTTTTTGATCTCATGTTTGCACCTGTAACCAGTTAAGAAAAAAAGCTGAGCAACTTGAAACAAAATACCCTGTGCCAGCTCTCTAATTTTACAGTGATAATAATGGAACTAATATTTCTTTCAAAATATGTTTGTCAGAAAATTGATACCTGCTCTTCAGTAAGACCTGTTTCCACAGACACATATGAATAGTTGAAAACTTTTGCTAGCAATCTGAAGCATATGGAGATTAACTTCATATGGCTAGGAAAGATTGTCTTCATGTGAAGAATGTAAGGCCTTTTCTCTGTAACTTACTGTCCTCTTACTCTACTTGTTCCAGAAACATGGTGCAAAGTTTGCTACTTTCTCTTTTTGTAGTGTAGTTGTTGTCAGCACTTGATATATAAATTTTTTAATACTTTTTTTTTTAATGATGAAGTAATGCATATTACAAAGGTCTGGTAATTTCATTTTTCTTATGCCTTCTTCCTGTCCTGTGAAGATGAGCAACTGTATACAAGTCTACCTGGTCAGCACAGCGAAGCACTTCTATTCCACCCCCTGGCCCATCACACGAGAAATACAGCATGAAGGGGTGAGGTGGTCCTGTATTTCAGGCAGTGTGCTCCTTCTCCCTGCACGGCTTGAAACAGTACTACAATTTCTTGCAAAGGGGTTGGAGGCTAACAGACTGATGGCTGTGGTGCAAAAGCTGAACCTGCAGTGTCATTAGCATGCAGAGCAATGGTATTTCCTTCATGCTGCGTGCCTGTGTTCTGAAAAGGCTTAACTGTCCACCAAGCTCACAGTTGTAACTTACTTTTTTTTCTTTCCTCTGCTTTTTATTTATTTCTGAGTTCCTGTGTAAAGTGAGAACGAAGCTGTTTATCAGGCCAGATAAAGACAAAACTGTGATTTACAGAAAGCTGGAAGTTGAAGAAAATGAGGGTTGTTAACTTCTGCATTTGGCAGCCGTTGATTAATCAGACAAAGTGATGTGAACAAAACTCTCCCAGAGAGATACAAATCTTCTGTCATAAGTCTGATACGGTAGTGTGATGATAGTTCCTGGAAATGAAAGCTGATCTACTGTTTATAGTATGGTGATAACAGTTTGATTTTTCACTTGGTTTCTGATCCCTGCTTTTTACATTTTCAAAGTCTGAGTAAATTTGATATTGAATATTTGACCTCTGTGTTGCCTGATCCAAGTTAGCTAATAAGCAGAAAAAGGCAGAAAAGGTCTGACTGCTGGAGTCTTCTGCAGCAGCTAATTAAAGAAAATAGCAGAGTGCATTGCATCTTCCTAGGAATAAGTGCCCCATTGTTAAGCGTGCGCTGAAGTCGGTCATTATCCGAGGTCCCGTGTGGTGCCACACAGGAGTCAGGGAAGTCACATCCAGTTTTCCCAGCATTGCACTCCTGTCTTTTCCCTCCCTTCTCATTTTCAATTAATTTCTTTAAAAGTAAAATACTTGCAATCAGCAGCCTGTCTTCTATTATAGACCTGCTTTCCGTAGTCCCCAAAACAGTCAGTCTGCTTTTATGTACAGAACTCTTTTGTGTTATTCTGAAATTAAGAATGCTGGTTTTGCACTGACTGTACAGGCAGCATGGGAGTTAAAGTGGCTGAACAATGGAATTCACAAGTGCACGACAGTGAGGAGTGGACATTCCCACAAAGAAATTAAAGGGATTTCTTAAACATTTTAACAGGCTTTGGCTTCCAGTGTGAGATTACAAGTATCTAAAAGAAATTGTATTTTATTAAAATGAAAAATCATGTAAAAGTGTTATTTTTATTACCCTTTGAGTTTATGCATTTTAGTTCTCAATTTTTTTTAGAGGAAACTTCAGCTGTTTTCTTATTTCTTCTTCTGATGCATAGACATTTATACTGAGATGTCTTTATAGATGTTGCTTGAAATACACAATTGATAAGTAACCAGTATTTATTCAAGAGGTATGTTGTGATGGCTGATGTTTTGACTGCTAACATTAGCCTGAACCTGTTCCAGAGAAAATAGAGCTTGCTTAAGGAACAAGAAACACACAGACAGAGTATATAAATAGCAGGAAT